CGTTAGCACATAGCAGTTATTGAGTAGTCAGGGTCGCATTAGATTGAGGGGCTAAGTATTGAGTTGTTATCGTGAAACTTAGCGAATCATGTAAGGACGGCCCCCTTAATGATCTGCTGGGAGATGATTATTTTTTTTTTTTTTTTTTTTTTTTTTAATTTTTTTTTTTTTTTTTTTTTTTTTCATCTTTCTTTCTCTTTGACAAGGAATGCTAGCCACCAATTGCGAGAGTGTCTCTTTGACCCAGAGAACTGCCCTAATGTACAGTTTGCTAGAAAAATCGAAGGCATAAAGGCGCCTCATTAATGCTATGGTGAAGATTAACGACTGGGATTGAGCATGACATCAGATATATTCCGAGAGGATATCATAACATTTCAGCAAGATTGAGGATCAAAGATGCCGAAAGTTGGAGATGCTTCCGCGCGGACCGATTAGACAATATTACGTCGAACCCAGCGAAATACACAGTACGATTACACCAAAAAAATCACAATACCTCGCTATTTCCACCAAGCCCCTATCTAAATTCGTGCTGTATGTATAGTTAACGAATCTAGAAAAGATACAGTAGTGACATATTTCCTCCGGCATCCACCCGTCCCTGATCCATCGCGAACGCTATCTCATGTCTGCTATGTCAGGCCAACACCCCAGTCTCCTGAGCCTTCCAAGCTGTCATAAGCTCTACCTTCCACTGCATATCTACCACTCTGGCGTGACCCTCTCCTTACTTCGCTTTTTCAAATAAAACCCCACGGCTCTCGCACCAATCTAAGCGCATCCATTCGGCCGGTTACTCAAGCACTGGTTGACAAGGGTTCCCTGCAGACTACCATTGTAAGCCTCGCAGCTTACCTCCCCGGTCACGGTCAAGCAGGCATTATAACAGCGTTGGGCATCATTATAGAGGTTCTCTATCTGGAAGGTGGCATTGGCACTCCAGCTGATACAGCAGTCCTTGTAGCAGATATTGCGTGGGCCGCCGGTCTTCCAGCTCCCATCAACCCGAACCCGTCCAAGCAATGCAATACAAGCGGCACCCGCAGCAACGTGCGCGGCGCTGCAGACGATCTGGTTGCGGGACCAGTCCATCTCGCGCTTATCAACGGCAGCAGTGGGCGTAAATGTGGGTTCTGCTGCTACCGGAGACGAAATGGTAGCCGTGCTCTGTTGCTGGTTGTTGTTTTGGGAGGTAAGTGCGCGGTACGCCGCTCCCAGACTCGAGGCGCTCGATGTGCTGGCGTAGAGCTCGATCAAACTCTCTTCTGGCCCATTATCGCCGCTCACAGCGTCCAGCAGACCGGCCTGCATCTGCGCGTTTGTGACATTGGCGTTTGAAGGATAGGCGTTCATCGAGAAGACGTTATACAGAAACACGACATCGCCCCAGAGTGCCTGACTCGCGGCGCTTTGCGCCAGATTCGCGATCACATTTAGCTCGCGGGCGTTATCCAAGGAGTGGATTCCCACCACTGTCTCGATGTGCGGGAGTTCTGTCCCCGCGAATCCAGTGATGTTAAGCCAGACATCGCCCCTGGATTCCACGGAGGAAGTAGCGATATTCCCGAAGGCTAATGCTTGGATGCTGTCGCTATAGCTTAGCTGCTGGCCTTGGGTGGTTCGTCCGAGTAGCATCCCAGCTAGAAGACATATCGAAAAAGTTCTCATTGTTATTGAAGGAGATTAAGAGACGGAAAAGGCAGAGAAAGAGAAGGCTTATTAAGATCGGAGCCGGGAGATTATCGAACAATAGCTTGCTGTCCTTGTTTTCGATCTATCCAGCGGGTGAATTACCTCTATTTACAAGGCCCCGGACTGCACAAGATCCTCGTACTTGAGCATGAATGAGTGCTTGCCTGATGTTCACAGGCCGGTACTACCTATTCTAATCTTGCTTTAATTTCGAAAAAAGCTCGTTTTTGACTAGCAACCATGAAGTTAGTATGGACGACGGTGCTTCCGTGGAGACCACTAAGGGGTTAGTATCATAAGAGCGTGACATACGAACGACCTAGTTTGAGGCAACAGCAAAACAGTCTCTAGTCCGGACTAATCTGGCAGAAGACAATTAGGACATCATGTATTTAGTAGTGGTTACATTGGGTGGGGCCACTAACATAGCTTAGTAGAAGCATGTCTCGCAGCCTTTCCAGAATCCGACCAGGGTCTGAAAGGAATGGGCTTACCACCTAAAAAGCTCCTCCCTTGAACTATGTCTATTGGCAACTGTGAAATGCTTCATAGGGATTCAGGATTATATATTCTGAGTCAGTTATAGTGTAGATAGGGCCTTCAATATACCTGTTCACTGGACTACTCCGATCGCCATTCTCTGTGCCCACGACTGAGACCCTGAAAATGAAAAAGTGGACATGGCATTAGCTTGGCAGTAGCTTGGTAGTAGCTTGGTAGTAGCTTGGTAGTAGTCCGAAATTAGCCTCCACCAAGTTAGTGCTCTCAACATGAATGCGCGATTTTTGTGATAGGACAGATGGAGCAACATATGAAATCTCTCGGTTTCAGACAAAATATAATGCCTACTCTCCTTCCATCACATGAGCGCAGAGACATCAACTTCAATAATCCGCCTCTGCTCACTGTCTAGATACATCATGGCATACACTCCAAGCCCACAGTCTCTGTTAATCATCTTTCGCGAACTCCTCAATACCATCATCTATTCCGCAGGAGATTATCCCCTACTTGCACGAACTCATCAATCCTTCCAAAAGGGCCCTGCTCGATTCAACAGGGGTTTACTTTTAGCACCAATTTCAGTTGGGATTGTCCTTGACATCCTAGTAAGCCACTAACAGAGAATCATCATTGTCCGCAAGAACTAACAGAGCATAGGTCCGATACATCATTGGCCATGTCTTAATGTCTATCTTAATCCTCGAAACTGTGGGGAAGCAGGTCAATGTGTCTAAGGTCGCAGACAAGAAGCTAGCTCCATCAAGTCGTTACTTGTTCCAAACTAGTGCCGCCCTTTACCGCAGAGGAGGTTTCTCTCTTCTCCTCAATGGCATCTATTCCGCTTGCACCTACTGGGTGATGCACTCATTGGTGACTAACCTATCGACTATTCTGCTTCCTAGTCAGGTAGCGTATGTTGTTGCATCGGTCCTGCTCGCGGAGACCCGTTTCTTCTGGACCGCGAAAACCATCCTTCAGCGCGACCAGCTGCGCTTCGTGCCTAGCCCCCACGATTTCCGCCGATGGAGAGCTCTTGTGCTTCCCACATTAATTTATTCCACGGCCGAGGCAGTGATGGTGCATTTCCCGGGGCTACTCAATAGTCGTCTCGCTCCGGCGTCGAGCGAGAACGTCACAATAGAGGGATTGCCGTATATCGTGAGATCCGACATCCTGATATCGGCACTTATGCTCTTTGCCCAGTTGTTTCTCCTCCTTCCCTCTTATATGGCGTTAATTCTGGTGCAGGCCAGTCTCCTGCCACCCATCTGCGAGACGATTATCTATAGGCCATCGCGACAGCAGCAGCAAGGTGTACGGGTAGGAGAGATCTTTTCAGCAGTCAAGCAAGGACCCCTGCAGATATGGGAAGCGGCGCAGATGATCGGGACGGGAAGCTTGCTTTATTGTCTGGAATTGTACGGGAAGATGTGTTTATGTTTGCTTGTGATTGCTGCTATGGTACATTTGACAGTCTATTCTATGTTGTAAGAGGAAGTATCACCACCTCTCAACCATACTACATCTTGGTCAAAACAAGTGGACATATATCTTATGAGGAAATGTGATTGCTTCGAAATTAATCCATTCATTCTATTTGTCGGTGATTATGGAACGTAGACGAACTCCGAGGTTAGAGATGACCTGTATAGTTACATTCACTGCCGCGCCACTATAACTTAACGCGTGCTAAATGACTTGCGCTCGCACGATTGCTACAATTTGCTGGAGATAAATATGGGGCAAAAACTTTTATAAATCCCAAATTTTCAGACGTGCGACTAGCTGGGCAGGGGGGTCACAGGGTAGGCGCTCTGCCAGGAAAGAGCGATGACCGGATCGCACGGCACATTGAACAGGGAGACAGGGGCAAAAAAAAAAATAAAATAAAATAAAAATAAAAAAAAATAAAAAAAAAGCGGAAACCGGGGGCTGGAGGTTTTGAAGGCAAGGGAGAGGGAAATATCGGGACAGGGAACGGTTCCCGAACAAGGATCAGGGTGAGAGCTGAAGTGACAGCCGAAGTTGACCCGTTACTTGCCTATGTCTCATATGGTCCATCCTTATCCTACAGCGGAGGACAATCTTCTAGAGAGACTGGTGGCCTAGAGAACTGTGATGGGGGCAGATCGACAGAACAATCTTGGTTTGGCCGTTCCTGGACAGACTGTCAGTAGTCTTTTGAATAACAAGATAGAGCCTTCTCCTAAGTCTTACTTGTCGGGGCTGCAGTTATCGCTTGTGGCCCTACTACCCTTGGCTGGGAGGGGCTAAATCGGTATGCACCGGGGTTCAGAGCTATCAGTGCTCACCCTGGGTCAGCACGCCAGTAATATAATTGTTGGGAACGAAAACTCTTGAGTTACCTACATCCTTGAACACCTTACCTCGGAGACGTACTCGCGGCCATCGACCCCACTGGATCATCCAACCTCGCCAGCTGGCTCCTCCAAAAACCCTATTACATAGCCGGTGAGAAAGCCTATTGGTTCCGTTTATACTAAGATATCATCTAAGCTATCGCAGAAAGTAAATGGCGCGCAGGCACAATTGATTTAAGTACATCGAGCACCTTATTGCAACCGGTATTCTTCTCTTAACAATGTTTAATAGGTAAGATGACAGTGTGTGAGAGGTAACTATACCTATGAACTGGCACTCGGTGGAGATCTTAGCTCAACATGTCATGATTTGTCTTCCCAGTCCCGCATGAAATGTCGAGGTCACTTCCCAAGCTTGGGGGGTAGTGACAAATATGTCTTTACGAAGCCTCGGTAGATCGTTGATGGCTTATTGGGTCTTCTATACAGACATGACTGTCGGAGTCTTTGCAATTTTGTGTCTGGGAACCTTACGATAGAAGTAGTCTATTTCATCATTTTCGACTTGAGAGGTTTGCTGATCCTCTTTCCGAATTTGGTTATAAAGCTAAATGCGGTGAGGTAAATACTACTATTATTAAGTATCTAGCCTATAATATCTTCAGGACCACATGTACAGTATGATGTAGTAACAAGGATATTATCATCACCAATAGAGTCAAGGCTTAGAATTTAACTCAATCTCAAGGTTATTTTGATCTGATTAAGTGAATTATGATATCTATAGAACAGCCTTTTGCTTCGCAGATCTGGGCTTGGAAATTATAAACTACTAACAAAAGAGCTGCATAACCGTGGACTAATCTTGCTTTGGGATTATGGTAATCCTCGGGCGGCTAATAGTATATGTTCCGGAATAGATGAAGTAAATGTTTAAGACCTAAATAAGTATAGCAGACACGTCTTATTCATAAGAATGATGAATATGATTGATATTCCCTCTTTATCTATATTAGGCCTAGAATTGGAATCTTTCTTAATCTGATTATCAACGTAGCAGCAGATTTAGAATCCCTCAATTAACCTGACCTGGCCTGGATGCTTGTCACTCTACTTTTACTGTATCCTTTTACTTCCTTTTTCTCTGCTTTGCTTCCAGCTACAGAGTGTGCCTAAGCAGTGAACGCCATCCAAAGCAATATAGAGTGGTGGCACACGTCATTGTATTTGCGTTATGTTTCGCAAGGTCTCTGCACAATAGGGCAGAGTCCATGACCCACTGAAGTCCTTGCCCAGTGTTGGGGGTAAACCTAAGGGGTCCATTGTCTACCAGAGACACCTGATCAGAGATCCCCGGTTGTTATCTAGTGGCAGGGCTCCTTCCTTACTGATAACCCGTCCTTGATATAACAGGGACGGTGGGTAAGGGAAAGGCCAAGCTTCATAGCGCAGGCTTGATTTGAACAAGATATGTTGCCTACGCTCAATGAGGTTTAATCTCCGCAAGTTAAACTCGGTTCAAGTGGACACGACGCGTTGGCCCTTGGGGCGGATTCGTTGAGAATCGGCGAGGATCCATCTCGTCGATCCTCGGGTGGGGAATGTCCAATTATCCCCGACCTGTTCTGCACCGGCAATTGACTACCCTGGCGAGCAAGGGACCATGAATTATGCCCAAAGAATAGGCTGCCAAGACGACATTTTATTGCCAAGTCTCAAGGAACTTGTCAGATCAGATTTCCTCTCGCGATCTCTGTAAGATGGCGTGAGTATTGAAAGGTACTTTATAGAGCTGTGACAGGCTCGTCTCGAGGTGGGTGCTAAGCTTCGGATCTGCAGGGGAAATGACGGATTTGCGAAACGCCTCAGGCGTCATTGCAAGACGATCGGACAGCTCACTATGTATGAGGCTTCCAATTGCTTCTCGGAGCAGGGCAGACCCGACAGGCTCCCGAGATGACTTGACGAAGTCCGGAAACGAAGTCAGCTATAAGTTGCTTCCCATCACCATGGCTAATAGGATAGACATAACCACTGCTGATCATCCATATTCTCCAACATGGGTCGCTCACTAGTCCTTGCGACATGGGTATCACTTCTAGCCGTTGTTAGTGCGCAATTTAAATGCAGTTTGCCCGCAGGTGATATTTGCGCCTACGAGAACGCCACCACCTACGCGGCAGTCAATACGCCTAACTGCACCACCAGTCGCTTGCAGGCCTTTGTAAACAAGCTTTCAGGGGCTCAATGGAACGACATTGAGTGTTCCGTACGCTTTTTACATTGATAGCAATGAAACTCTAGACGAGTTCACTGACTATGTTGGCGCTTCGACATTTACCACCGATATCCCACCTGTATGTGCGTTCCGTGTCAACGGAACCAATGAACAGGGCGCGACTTGGGGCTTGGGAGCACTTCTTCCTACCCACTTCAATGGCAGTATCATGTATGTATACACGCTATACACCCCAAACTTGACTCCTCAGTAACGACCTCTAGGATGGCAGCCCCCGACTCTGGACTTTCATGGGGCGTAGCAAGTGCAGGCCTGCGCTACGCCTTTGCCACCTTCGCCTCCAACTCCGGTCACGACGAGCCAGACCACGCTTCAGGCTGGGAGACTCCCAATGGTCTCATTGACTGGAGCCACAGAGCACTGCACCTATTTACCCTTACCGCCAAAGCTATCGTAAAGGCCTGGTACGACGTGGAACCCAAATACAGCTACATCACCGGATGCTCCGACGGAGGCCGTCAAGTCATGAAGTCCATCCAGACATACCCCGAAGACTACGATGGTGCTATGGCGGGCGCGCCAACCTGGTGGATGACACACCAAGCATTTTACAACTACAAGCAGACAACTATCGGCGGCGCACCCCAATCAAACTCCTCAATCCCACCCTCATTATACCCAGTCATCACGGACGAGGTCCTCCGCCAATGCGATCCCCAAGACAACCTCACGGACTCCATCATATCGAACCCACAAGGCTGCTTCTTCAACCCCGAAACTCTAGCCTGCAGCAGTAACAAAACATCCAACTGCCTGACCGCACCACAACTAGATACCCTCCGCAAGATCTACACCGACTGGACGACCTTCGACCAAGACCTCATCTACCCCGGTGCATGGTTCGGCAGCGAACCCACCTGGAATACGACCTTCGGCAATCAGCACTCCAAATCATGGTACATCGAAAACGTCCTCGGCTTCAAGAACCTCACAGCCCAGGACCTGACATACGAACTCATCGTCGAGGCAGACGCGCGTAATCCCGCCCACGCAAACGCAGACGACTTCGACCTGTCTCCTTTCTTTAACCGAGGCGGGAAATTTTTCCACTGGCACGGCATGTCGGACTCGGTCGTCTCACCGGGTTCAAGCGTGTATTATCACCACAAAGCCACGTATGCTGCGTTGGAGAAGGGAATCGACATCGACCAACATTATCAGCTTTACTTGATTCCGGGATTAGAGTGAGCCCCAATCCCTCATCTCCCAACTCCAGTATCCCACGACAATCCCCAAACATGACTAACAAAAGATAGACACTGCACCGGCACCCCTACCTGCATGTCCGCCCTATGGTACCTAGCCGGGCCATACCAAGCTGGGAATTTTTTCAACTTCACCCCCGCCAACGTTGTCGATAACTACGTTCATGACTCTTTCCTTACGCTTATTAGTTGGGTAGAGGGTAGTCATGCGCCGTCGTATATGGTCACCACGAACTTTGAGGATAATGCGGATCCGACAACGCTGCTTCATAATCGGAAGATTTGCCCGTAAGTTATCACCTTTCTTTCTTGGATGGAATTGGGAGCTAAATGGGTGTTGTTGGCTAGGTACCCGAAACAGGCGAATTGGACGCAGACTGGTGTGTCGACGCATGAGGATTATTGGGATTGTGTTGATGTGTAAATAGGGGTAGATATATTATTTGTCGTTATTGATCCGGTTTAGAACTTTGTGTGGTATCGGTATAGACGGGATGTTGCTGCTATAGATAGGAGACATTGATATAGATACTACTAGCCGTGGCAGAACAGATGGTGTCTGAGTCGATGAAAATGTACTACGTGCGGAATATGCAAGAGAGTTAGGTTTTGTAATTGAATGAAGCAGACGTATTTGGGAGAAAAGGAACATTGTGAAAGGTGTTCCCAGTAAGAAGCATAATTGTTTGGGGAGGCAGAACACAGAAGAGAGAAATAACAACTATACTACGTAGGGTTTGTAGAATCACAGATAGTACTGGAGGTATACTTCTTAGATGGTCAGATGCCAAAAGAGGGGGTCTTAAGATTTTCTGCTTCAAAATAATCATGTTATCATATATTCGAACCGTAAGTGTGTAAGATTACAAGAAGTTGAAAGGCTAAGTGAACAAAGCAGGAAAGAAATAGGACAAAACACAAAGGAATATGGAAAGAAAACCCGAAACCAGACCAGTGAGAAAAGCAATATATATGAAATGGAAAGACCAATTATTTATATGTCCGGTACGCCGTACTCTGCGCTGCGCTTATGCAAATAACAGACAAGTTCACACCCGTATCTCTTATCATGATCCAATCCACTTCCACAGAACACTCAGTAGTTGATCTCGGTGAACCGGCTTTCCGATGCAATCGCTCATGCCCTTTGCAATGTAGCTCTGGGCGTCGCCCTGCATAGCATTACCGGTGACTGCGATGATCGGCATCTGGAGCCCCATATCGCGGATATGCCCTGTCGCGACAAGGCCATCCATGATGGGCATGGAGACGTCCATCAATACGACGTTATATGATAGCGGCTTCTTCTTAATCTTAGAAAGTGCCTCGGCGCCGTTCCAAGCCCCGTCCACTCGCGTGAATCCGATGCCGCGAAGGAGTTTCAGCATCATGGTATGGTTGACCATGTTGTCCTCAACCAATAAGACATGTTTGTGGGGCGCAATGGCCCGCATTTTATCGCAAAGATCTTGGCCTACGGGCGTTAATGCAGGACTGCGGGGCTTGAGTGACGGGGTACTTGATCGATCTCCCAGTTTGGCAGTAAACCAGAAGACACTCCCTTGGCCATCCGGGTTTGGAGAATCTCCCACTTTTCCATCCATGAGTTCCGCCAGACTTTTGCAAATGGACAGACCCAAACCAGTCCCCTGGTATTGTCGAGTTGTCGAGTTGGCAAAGCGTGTGAACGGTGTGAATAGGGTATTCATTGCGTTGTCAGGAACACCGATGCCGGTGTCGACGACCTCTGTACGCACGATGCAACATCCCTCCTCTTGTTCATCCGGAGAGCACGCTGTGGAGACCCGGATATGGCCGCTCTCGGTAAACTTGACTGCATTGCCGACCAAGTTCTGCAGGATCTGGCGATATCGTAGGGGATCTCCTCGAAGATTTCGGGGAAAGTCAGGTGCAATGTCCGTGGTCATTTCGACACCGTTCTTCAAGGATGGGCGACAATTCCGTATAACGGCTCCGACCACATCGCTGACATCAACGACATCGGAATGTAAGGAGAAAGAGCCAGATGAGAGTTTTGAGTAGTCAAGCACATCGTTCACAGTCTCAAGCAAGAGAGACATGCAGTCTTGGATGATGGCAGCATGCTCGAGCTGTGTCGGTGACAAACTCGTGTCAGCCAGCATCGTCATGGCAATTTTCATCCCGTTCATCGGAGTCCGGATTTCGTGGCTAATATTGGCGAGAAAGTCGGTCTTTAGGCGTGACGACTCTTCGAAAGCAGCAATTATGCGGGCCTCGGCTTCTTTGCGCTCACTAAGGTCCCGGGTGACTTTGACGAAACCAACGTGCTGCCCGAACTGGTAGATTGGGGTGATAAGCACATTGGCCCAGAATCGCGAGCCATCGCGCCGATACCTCCACCCCTCATCTTCCATGCGGCCTTCGCGCAAGCACACAGCAAGACCTCGGAGGGGCTTTCCTGCCAGGCGATCCTCTGGGCTGTAAAAGACAGAGAAATGTCTGCCAAGGATCTCCTCTGCTGGCCATCCCTTCATGATTGCAGCGCCGGGATTCCAGGTGGTGATATTGCCCTGAGTATCGAGCATGAAAATGGCGTACTCTTTAACGGTATCCACGAGGATTTTGTAAGTTTCGTTTGTATAGGCATGATTAACGCTGGCGGTCTCCTCGGAAAGCTTGTGCGCCTCCAATACAATGTACAGCAGAGTGAATGTATCAAAGATGGGAGTAACTCGGAGGTTGTATAAAGAATTGTCGCTGGACACAATTCTCTCCACTATCTGGGTTTCCTTGGTCGAGCAAGCTGCACGCAGTGCGCCACAGAGGATAGCGATGTTAGGAGCTGGTACGGCAGCTGGGTCGAGGTCACGAACGGTCGCATGCAGCATAGATTGGCGCGTCTTGCCGGATAAAGCGAGATGACTATCAGAGACCTCGACAATGGTCATGGATGAATCGAGGACGATGGTCGGCGTCGGGGTATGGCGGTAGATGCATGCGAGCGAGGGAGACACCGCTGGGGAGTCATCGTCTGGCAGAGGTACACTGCGTGATGTCGCGAGCTTCTCATCGAGGGAGAGAGCGGCCACTTGGCCGTCGAGAAACATTGCGACTTGTTTGAACAGACATGAGAGGCAGAAGAAGGGGAAGGATGGAGATATCTTCTTTTGTTGGTCTTTATCGCGTGGCGGAAGAAAAGTCACTGTGAGTGGCGGAAACGCAGCCGGCAGCAGAACCACTCATTGACGCTTCCACTGCGCTGCCATTCATTGGTGCGACTTGAGCTGGAACCAGCTTCTGGATTTCCACTCCAGGCGATCGCCCCGGACATCCCCGCCTGTGCCCATGGAGTTAAGGTGTCTAGGCCATCTGAGAGCAGGTGATTAGTCTTCCACTTGTCTTCTCTGAGAGCGAGCAAAGTCCGTTTAGGCTCACGGGTGGCGACTGCGTGAAGATCTATCTACTCTGCATTGATGCTTATCTTCTTTATCATTTGGACACAGGGAGAGAGTAGTCATTAAGGCCAGTCCTTCAAAGCGAGTAGACGAGAGTTGCAGTCAGGATTAGCTGCCACTGGTACTTATTGGAGGCATTTGAGCTGTCTAAAATGTTCGACAACTGCCGGCGGTCCATCGCGCCCAGCCATCGGAGCAGCAAGCCACCAATCAGAGCGCCTTGAGTAACTATATCTTGCTCGCTCGGATAGTTACCATGGGTCGAAGCAGGTTTGGCTACCCGCTAAATCTAATCAGCTAGATTTTCATCGCCGAAAAGAGTAGGACCACGAAGCTTCGGACAACCGGGAATGCCGGTCGAAAAATCTCGGCTATATCAAGCCTGTTGAAGTCTTGCGACAAATCTGTAACAATTGACGAAGATACTTATTCACTAAAGTCAGGCGAAGATGCGCTCCCGGATCTCAGGCCACGCTAATGTGGCGTTTGCATATCTTCATGATGTGGGATGGGAATGAGTCCGCTCTCTAGGCATGCAGGGCTGAGTTTGAGGACGACGTGTTTATCGATATGGAGCGCCTGCGGCTCAATTCAACATCCCAGGCCACTTCGTTCATTGTATGCCCAGTTATGAGGAATAATAATCAGTGCCGGGATTAAATAGGGTTCGGACATTATCTGGGTTCGCCTTCCGAAGTGGCAGTTTGGGGAACCCCACCTTCCGCAGTGACTTACCGGATTGGCCATGTACCTCTGCAATACACATGGCGTCCTTGGGCGACACTGAGGGATCCTGAATCATTAATATAGTCACTCAGACCATCTCCACCTTCTTTGTGCCTTTAAACGTATGCCAAACTATTGCATCAACTCAGAGCTATGTCTGTGGAAACCCACCTCGAACGACCCTTGCTGTTGGCTGGGAGGAACTTGCTCAACGATCAGTGGGTAGAGGCAGCTTTGGGCAAACACTTCACTTAACTGATACATGAAAACCCAATATACCTACTGTATTGCCATCTTGTTGCTAACCCGACGACGCGTTATTAAGGTCAGATTCTAGAGTCACACAAAAAAGACTTATCCCATATCATTAATATTTAAAGTATTATAAACAGTTATATATCTTCAAAGCATGAAGAATCGTGTACAAAAGATTTGTTTAGAAGATATACCGGTATTAGTATCTTGTCCATTTTATATAATATCAAGGCTTTCCTAAACAAATGATCTAGGAAGGCGGTGTATCTTTGTAAGCCTGTTCTTCTGATCATCATCGCCAGTTATAACGAGGTTTTTTACTGGTAGGAACTAGAAACATGCATAACCTGGTATCTGATATCCCTTAAACAATGTGGAAGAAGGTATGCGCGTGACCGATCGACCTACTCTATGCGTATTAAGGTTGTTGCATGATGCAGGGACTTTAATCTTCACTGCCATTAGCGGCATGTTGTGTCATTTTCTTTGGCTCCGTACACGCATCCCTTGTTTACATAGATCGCGGACTGGGCTGGCTGTACATCCGCCCGTGGAGGCTCGACAAATACGGTACCGTGTTGCACCAGCCCTGAGCTTAGGCTAACATGTCCCAGCAGAGAGCGGCGAATGCTTTACATTCTTCTTCCTTATTAGAGTCAAGATGTGGCTGGGAAGACTAGGAGCACTTGAGAAGGTGGGGTGATATACTAGGTAAGTTCGAGTATGCAGAACGATGCCAGCTGCGCTATGTATGCGTAATTATTACCTGCCTCATATCGGTGCAATACCTTTGTTCAATCCAACAAAACATATAAAAATCCAAGGAAGCCCTCAGTAACGCCCTCAGAATTCCTAGTTCCACTGCATCTTCCTGGCTGTGACAACCTTAGCACTATTATCATTCATTAGCTTTCACCAACAAAGATGGTCCTTATCGCCAAACTTCTCACTCTGGCTTTAACTGCTGCCGCTACCCCTATCCTTCGTCGCGACGCCATCACAGTCCAAAACGATGTAAACCAAAGAATTGTCCCGGGCATCACGACTCTTACAAATGACGTTAATGCTTTCCCCTCTAGTGGTTTAGCCGGATCTGTGGCTATCCACACCGATTTTCAGAATCTTATTTCTTCAGTGAATCATGCAACTACCGATACCAACAGCGCCGGCTCTTTGGATGATGAATCTGGAGCCGCTATTCTTAATAGCCTTCAAGCGGTACCCCCAAGCCTTTCGAACCTATTAGGTGCCCTTGGAACTGAAGTGAGTGCTTGGTCAGCCGTTCCAGGTGGAGCAAGTCTGATTCTTGGCGATCTCCAATCTCTCAACACGGCCTCCGACAATTTCGCCGACGCCTTGACAACGAACGGACCCGCTTCTATAAGTGACCAGGTTGCCGCAATCAAGACTTTTATTGATAATTCCTTTACCTATACAGAGGCTGCCTTCTCCTCCTAGACCACTTGGCTATTTTATGGTGCAGGGTAGCTGTCAATGATGGCATATAGCGACAAAGTATTTTGTTGTCTCGAGGAGATCAATTTGTGGTATGGATATTGAATGGTGTTGAAACGAACGGCATGAAGCTGGCAACGGGATTAGCGGGTCATCCAATTCAGGCATCAAATCCTTTCTTTCATTGTTCTTGTACCTTACAACTTGATGGGTTTTGTTCGTAAGTCTAGGAATGTGCTTTCCCCATATTGCAGCATTCTCGCGCTTCTCTTCCAGGATACTGTATTACCTTAATGGAACCGCTTTCAGAAGGGAACTTCGGTTTTCTGTCAAGCTAGGGTGCCCTGGCTATAGTTTATTACTTTTATAGTGTCCAGCAATCATCATGTTATTCATTCCATATATTATACAAGCATGATATAACTTATTTCCAACTTTTCCTGAAGGAAATAAAAGTGACAGCCTGGTTCAAATCAAGTTATAAGGCGGAAGCTTATTCGAACCCAAAGTAAATAATTGTAGAAGACGATACGTTCCGTTCCATCCAAGCCGTGACTGAAGTAGCTTAATTACCCCTTCATGGCCCCCTGTGTATTCTTTTAGAAGACTAATGACAAGTAAAATATCCAGTTTATCTCTTTAGCATCAGTTTGATTGTCTACATCTTACTCCAGGAAAGCTCTTGCTGTAAAGGCTTCTCCTAGTCACAATGTACCTATCATTTACCTTGCTGGAACATATGCTACGGAATTTCCATAACGAAGTGGATTGTTTTCAAGTATCTCAACGGAGGTTCAAAGAACAAACAAGTCGTGGGAAGTAGCATATAGAAAAAAAGCCACAGGAAAGACAGCACCAAATATTTACAACATCTCCAAGTAAGCGGGCTGAGTATTTGAACGGGACATGGAATAATCGATATGGGCATTGGCTGCTCGCGAGAGGACGTTGACATGATGACTCACGAGCTCATGCTTGGTTAGCGTTGCGCATAAATCCTTCCTTCTCGGCGACGACTTTCACAATTTGAGATTCGTGATTCGGACCTGAATAATCGGTGTACGGTTGTCGGGTAGTATATTTGCCATTCATATTCATTCATTCCGATCATCTTTCACTGCGTTGTCGAACTATCCCACCATCCCACATCGTCTAAGCCCGAGCAAGAGAGGGTTATCACAATGTTGGACCAGGCAGTGCGAGTGATCCGTCGCCAGGCTGTTCAATTCTTGCGGCCGCGCAATGCTGCCCGATTTTAGCGAGGTGTCTAGAGCCACTACTACCCATGCTAGTGCCTTTTCTTCCGTTGGGGATGTGGTCCCCTGTCCAGTCTGAGTCCTTTCATCTCGCTCCCGCCTTCCTTTGACCTCGGTGACGTTGGACTCCAAGTGCGCCTTTCAAGGCAAAGATCATCATTATCGGCCCTCCGGTACATCACCTACTTAATTCGGCATAGACGCCAACTGGGAGACAAAGAACCGCAATTGATGAGGTTAAACTAAGTTGAATCGTGGTCAGTATGCACTAACCGTAACGGGTTATAGTTAGGCTGTGGCCAGAACAACCGGGTGTCCTCGGCGATCTGTGCGCTGTGACTACAGAACACATCTCTTTGTTTTAATAAGGCTACAATGAGATACTCTTACACCCGACCAGGATGTGCACATTTAGTACTGGAAAATTAGCCTTTCAGCCCCTGCGAACGAGTGTTTGTCCACAATTACAAGAAAACTGTCACCAACTAGTAATACAGAGTATCCCCGCAATCAGTTGATTGCGATGCGCCTGCAGCTCGACTAGCGCAAGGGGGTGGGGCTCAACAAGGATGTGATAAAAAGCGCAGTCCAGTAACTTGTTGTTAGCTACTTTAGTAGTTGCTGTCCATGCCTCATATGTTGTGATCTACACTTCCACAAGAGAACTCTCGATTCCCTGCGCTTCCGTCTGCGGACGGAAGTGGCATAACAAGGCTATGGTGATGGAGATAACAAGCGCTGTCCACTAGTTTGTTAGTTAGTTACTCCGTTACATTATGTACCGATCTGCTATTACCCTGGAAAACTCTCTATTCTCCTCGCAAGCCGGTTAGCTGGCATGGTCAAGTCCAGCCCACTCTGCTTCCCAGGCTTAAATCCTTGGGATGCGACTACAGACGGACGAGTTAGCCAGAAGTGTACCTGCATCATGCCGCCGACACAGACAGCTGCTTCATCGACAAGTGGCCATGCTGAAAAGCCCTTACATATTGCCGCTATCAGTGGCCCGTCTGCGTCTGCGTCTGCCGGTGCTGTGACTGAGCGCAAGATCACAGGTGTTGCGTGGTTTGTTGTCAATGTTGCCCTGCTGTCAGCGACTTTTCTGTATGCCTTCGACAATACCGTGACCGCAACGGTGCGGCCTGCCATTGTCGACACATTTGGCAATCGCATAGATATGTTACCGTGGGTTTCAGTGGCATATCCCATGGGTGAAGTTGGAACCAACCCTATCTGGTAAGATAAGTGAGCAGCAGAGTAATTTCAGACTACCAACACTTTTGTTCACAGGGCGAAGCTCAACAAGTTCCTCGACGGCAAGCTTGTCTTTCTCGCTGCCCTGCTTATCTTCGAAGTAGGATCTGCGGTTATCGGCTCAGCGTCGTCCATTGGCGCCGTCGTCGCGGGTCGCGCTCTGGCTGGCTCCGGTGGCTCTGGCATCTACGTCGGCACCATTAGCATGATCACTGGAATGACGACTGCCAAAGAACAAAACCAATATCTCAACATTGTCGGCATGGCGTGGAGCTTAGGAACTATTCTTGGCCCCGTTATAGGATCTGCGTTTGCTGATTCGCCTGCAACATGGAGATGGGCTTTTTATATCAACATCTGCGTTGCCGCTGTTGCCGCCCCCGCGTGTATCTGGATCATGCCTTCGGCGCCACCTAGCGTGTCACTGGGGCTCATGGACGTAATCAAGGCATTTGACCATCTGGGTGCTGTGCTATTTCTTGGCTCTGCCGTGTCGACAGTGATGCTTCTGGGCTTTGGCGGCGTCGTGTACAGCTGGGATAGCGGCCAGATGATTGGACTTTACGTTGCCACTGCTGTGCTATGGATCCTGTTTTCTCTGCAGCAAAAATTCCACCTTTTCACGTCAGATCGCATTTTCCCCGTGCAGTTCTTCAAGGATCCATTAGTGATTGGTCTATGGATCTGGACAATTGTCGCAATTTCTGATATCGTTGTCACCATCTACACGCTTCCGCTGTTTTTCCAGTTTGTGTTGCATGATTCTTCGATGCGTTCTGCAGTCTACACGCTCCCATTTGTGGCATCTGTTGTAGTCAGTGCGGGTATCAGTGGTGGACTTCTGCCCAAGTTCCCGTGGTACAAGTGCTGGTTTATTTGGGCCAGCGCACTTCTTCTTGTTAGCAACGGCCTGCTGTCCAGTATCCACACACATACATCTACAGCTGCTATTTGTGGTTATACCATTATCCAGGGGTTTGGGGTCGGGCCAGTCATTCAGCTTGGCTATACCGTGGGCCAGTTGAAGCGTCCACAGGCGGCGCGGAAGGACGTTACAGCCTTCTTCTCTTGTGCGCAGATGGGCGGTCTAGCCTTGTCACTGGGAATCGCTACCTCTGTTCTTATCAACCATGCTACGGACGAGATATCGCACATCCTACCGAACGTTCCTCTAAGCGAAATCAGAGGCGCTATTGATGGAGTGGGAAGTAGTCTCTTGGCGACATTAACCGAACATGTTCGTGCTCAGGTTACCAACGCGGTTACGCAGAGTGTGGTCTCTGTGTTCTACCTGAATATATTTGGTGCCGTGCTTGGCTTTCTCATTGCCCTTCCTCTCAAATTTGAGAAGTTGGATTTCGCCGCGCTGCAATAACATGCTTACTTGTCTGCTCCAAGATGACTTCAATTTAAACGTCATACTTTACGGTTAGCATGATACCGCTGTAATATTCTCAACTAATGTTAATTGCTCATAAGTTTTTGTATGTATCCTAACGCTGCGGTACGGAAAGTACATAGATGTGAGGTATAGTAAGTTTTGGGGTAGCAAATGGTGAGCAAGAGAGGCAGCGTCCATCACATAAAACAAACAACGCACAAACAAACTAGGAACCATGTTACAAGACGTAGCGTAATGTTACCCAGGATGACTTAAACCTAGTCATTAGCCGTGAGCGCTATATATCCAGCCCCACAAACCTATGGCCATGTCTGAGACGCCTCGCTCGTTGCTGACCGCAGACAGTGGGTACTAACAAGCCCGCCAGCCTTGTCCAAAAAATAAAGCGATTGGCACCAGAGACATACAGGGATCCACGCGTCATAAAACATCCCGCGGGGTTGATGCCAGCCGGGCGACCGACCCGGAGCTATTAAACCTAGTGTGATCCCATCCACTGCGCCCAGTTTGTTCCATCACCATCACATTTCACCGTACTATCACATCCAACAACATGGGAATTTACACTCGGCTCCCCGAAGGCATCGACGAGGTCGACATTATCATCGCCGGCGGTTTGTTCTTCTACTCTTCTGCTAATTATAATTCTATACTAACGATCTCTCCTAGGCGGTACCGCGGGCTGTGTCGTTGCTTCCAGACTCGCCGATGCCGATCCCTCCCTGTCCATCCTCGTAGTCGAGGGTGGGCAGAACAACAAGGGCAACCACTTGATTGCATTCCCACTCCTTTTTCCAACTGCACTGCTTCCAACCAGTACCGCAACCCTGTTTTACAAGGGCAATGCGGAGCCGCAGTTGGACAATCGCGAAATGATCGTCCCAGCAGGTGGTGTTCTGGGCGGAGGGTCGTCAATCAACTTGATGATGTACAGTCGTGCTCAACGCCATGATTGGGATTCGTGGGCCACTCCCGGATGGTCTACAGATGAGATGATCCCCTTCTTAAAAAAGGTAGGTGATCGAATCGTTAAAGCTGCACTCTGTGAACCCTGCGGCATTACCATTTTGGACTACAGTGTTTGCTAACATTCCATTACTCATTGTAGCTTGAGACGTATCACGGTCCGGGTCCTGAATCTGTTCACGGAAAGAATGGCCCTATTGTTGTGTCTCAGGGAACGTTCTACTCTGAGCGTACAGCAGAGCAATTCATTGCTGCCGCCAACGAGGTCGGCTACCCGACGGTCAAGGATCTTCAAGACCTCGAGACTAGCAACGGCGTTCAACGCGCCCTCCGCTTTGTTGACAAGGAGGGCCGCCGCCAGGATGCCGCCAGCAACTACTTGCATCCGAAGCTGGAAGATGGTGCTCACCCAAACCTCCACGTCCTTGTTGAGACGAAGGTGATCAAGATTCTGTTCGAGGGCAAACGAGCTGTGGGTGTTGTGTTCAAACCAAACCCTGCCTTCCAGAAGAAAGACAACACCGATGTTCGATGCGTCAAGGCCAGAAAGCTGGTTATTAGTTCCTGTGGCGCTATTGGGACCCCATTGCTTCTCGAGAGGTCCGGTCTCGGCGACGAGGCCATTCTCAACAAGGCTGGCGTTCCTGCTGTGGCCCATATCCCCGGAATTGGCCGGGATTACCAGGACCATCATCTCTTGACTCAGGCATATTACAGTTCCTTGGAGGCGACTGAGACGTTTGACGCCCCTCTTGCCGGTAGAATCAACATGGAAGAGTTGATCAAAACCAATGCGCCAATCATGGGGTGGAATGGCCAAGATGCCTCCTGCAAGCTGCGTCCCACCGAAGCGGATGTCACTGCTCTTGGGCCCGAATTCGAGGCAGCATACGCAAGAGATTATCGCTCCACTCCCAACAAGCCCATGGCGCTAATGGCTTTGCTGGGCGGCTTTCCTGGTGAGCCACACACCATTGAGCCAGGCCAATATCTCGCGACCTCTTTGTTCACGGTCTACCCCTACGCCAGAGGTCACGTCCACATCACAAGCCCCGATCCCGATGCGGATATTTCGTTTGAGACTGGATTCTTGAAAAGTGACTTGGATGTCAAGAAGCTCATCTGGGCGTACAAGAAGCAGCGAGAGATCGTGCGTAGAATGGACGTTTACCGCGGCGAGTTTGCGGGTGTGCATCCGCCGTTCGCTGAGGATTCGGCCGCCGCCCTTGTCAGGCTGGACAAGCCAAATGACAAGAACATCCCTGACATCCAATACACTGCGGAGGACGACAAGGTGATTGAGGGCTGGGTGCGCAAGAATGTCGGCACCACCTGGCACTCACTTGGTACTTGCAAGATTGGCGCGCTTGCTGATGGCGGCGTGGTTGATCCCGAGCTTAATGTTCATGGGATTGAGGGCTTGAAGTTGGTGGACCTGAGTATTGTTCCTGAGAACATTGGCGCGAATGCGGCCACCACCGCTTATGCTATTGGTGAAAAGGCTGCTACGATCATTATGAAGGACCTTGGGCTTGCTGGGAACGAGTGAACTGCCGCTATATTCTAAGTGCAATGATTGGATCTGTACACTTTTCCCACAGCTGATATATTAGGTTCGCAGCGATCAATTGAGCAAAATAGATCTATTTAGAGAGAATCTCTAGTCTACCTCAGTATTGCGGTGTGACTCAATCAGTATGTATGGTTGAGAAACTACTTAATTTGTAGTAAGCTCTGCTTACTGAGTAGATACTAGGCTGCTGGCGGAAGTTGTCGGGGGGTTGTAGCTGGTTGTGAACGGTTATAAACAGTAACCTATCTTGTTATTATTAACGAAGCAATACAGTTACATTATAAGCACATGGTATATAATAACCAAAATAACCTTCTAAATAGTCTAAATAACTATATCTCAATAAGTAATTATTATATTTATAATACCGAACCATTCTATTATACTTATAAGCTTACTTTTGGGTATATTTCTACTATACAGATCACAGAGCTTCTTATTTAACCCCTTTTCGACTAACACTTCAGAGTCATAGTTCATGTAATCATACTGTGTCATATAGTGAGGTTTAGTAAAGTAAGTAATATTTACTATTAGTTTACTAGATATCTGATCATTTCTTTATTTCTTCGGTCTTTTATGTCTATCTATTCTTCTCTTCTTCTTCTTCTTCTTCTTCTTCTTCTTCTTCTTCTTCTTCTTCTTCTTCTTCTTCTTCTTCTTCTTCTTCTTCTCTTCTTACTCCTTCTATCTCTTTAATCTATGATCTGTCTATATTATTTGTCTCTCTTCCATCTCCATTACTCCTTTTACTTAATAATTTACTCACCATTCCTTTGTGGTTCTCATTGGATTTACACCATAGACAGTGAGAATGTGCTTGAAAATAACTAATAGAACAATCTGGTTAACTGGGACACAGGTAAGCTGCAAGCCGTTTACAGAGAATACTAGTATATTTTATACTGTAGAAATCATGGATTATAGGGTATAAAAGCATGGTACAGCAAGAAGAAGTATAAATATAATCCAAAGAGCCCATATATGTTTTCTATATTATGATTCTTGACAAGACCCATATTTTGAAAGATGCCAGTATGCTGCTTCTGGAAAATCAGATTATCTGTTTATAATTGAATATAAAGTTTTATCATCCACTTTCTAGTACTACTACCCTGTTTTTCATCAAATTTTTATGATTTTATAGGGTACGATAAGCTCCTCTTGGCACTGAATGCTAAGATAGTAAAGAAGCTCAGTAATAACTGAGTAGCCCAGATTCTGGGGGCTGCTCCTAGCTTTATAAAGAAGAAGCTGTTATATAATTAGGAGTTTATTAGTACTACTTATATCTTTACTGAGAATATTAACTTATAAACTGTATCTGTCAGACTACAGCAGGTCTTTAAAACATAGCGAAAATGGATGTCAACGTATCGTGCTTCTACCCCTCCTCTTGCGGGATGACGAGCCATCTCGGTTGCTGGAAATAGGGCGGCTGTACTTCCTGCGAGCAGCGAGGTTGTTGTCATCGGATATCAATAATAATTATATTCTACCTTGGTACATGGGTTCAGCTGAAGGCACTAGTCCTGCAGGTGATAAGAAATCATTCTATAAGCTGTTGTGGAAGGCTTTCACAGACGGTTCTATATAATTATCATGAGATAAATAAAGTGATGGGGCAGAGTTGGGTTATGTGTAGAGCAGCTGCTACTTGGTCTGCCACTAGTGAGCCACTGGCAGCAGCCAGTATTGTACTAGTATCTCGGAGTCCTAACAGAGGGACGCGTGAGGTCGTATGGAAAAAAGCCACGGCACATCCCTGTAATGGGAGACGCGCTCGACGCGTGGAGCGAACCATGGGCCACAAGCGCCCTCCCCCCCCCAAAAACAGTAGCCGTTTGTCAACACACCATGAGGTAGTTATATGATGAAATTTGTAACTGAACTAATTTTTTACACTCTGTAATTTCTACCATCTTAACACCCTTGGTGGCCAGCTCCTTCATTATGGTACCATCATCATGGCGTCCTGCCCGGAATCCTATGGAATCCCAGCAAGCAAGACCAGCGGGTTAGATACTTATACCAGGCTTCTTATCATGATGGTGGAAGGAACAAACTAATACTGGTCTAGTGCCGGTCCTACTTTCAACAGACCCACCGCTTCCCTCGGTCGGGAGCCATGTAAGGAATGCTGCCGGCATCAATCATAAAGGGGCAAGTGGTACCCCTTGCATATCTTTATGTATACACTGCTGATAATAGTAGCCTCCTAAGAGGATACTACAGACAACGCCCTATCCTAAGCGGGCACGAAAGACAGCCAGAACAGAGAATGGTCTAACCCGGTCATCTCAGAACCAGGTTTCTCTACAGGATATCTCCGAGAGAACATGGAACATGCGGGGCGCCTCGTTCTCCCAGGGCAGGGATTCGAGCGGTCTATCCCAGCCAGAGAAAGCTGGTGTAGCACTACCAACCTCCGACAGCATCGCCATGTCGCAGCCGTCGCAGAGCCCCCGAGAGCACTCAGTGCCCGTTCACTCTTTCAGCGAGCGGGAGCCGGATCCTGACAGTCAGACTATTGAAAGTGGAACTCCTCAGATACGCCAGCAGTATACACAAGATTGGTTGTTCACCGACTATAATGAGCTACAAGAGAGCGGGCTAGCTCGGCCCAAGTCGGCTATTCACACACACTCATCTGATCATATTAGAGCCTCCCCATCAGATGTGGAGGCATTCAAGGAGATGACTCTCTGTGCACGGCAGCAGTTTATTGCTACACTGGATAATAAAAATGTGGTGTGGCCAGTCGAGCAGGCATTTCCAGGCATATTGGCCAACCGGCCTCTTTATAAGAATAGGGTGACGCGCGTCCGCGCCCTCTACAGTACCTGGAAGAATAAGTCCTTGGACCTGGCATTGAGGAAATTCAATAGCTGGATTCTCACCCTCTCTCCTCGACAGATGCAAAAAATCCGTAATTCAACGGACTTTGTCCTGGTTTACCAGGCCATAGCTAGCCAGTTTGAATTTAGTTGGGTGTTTGATGTCTTTCCTTGGGCCCAGCAGGTGTTGTCTATCGATGACTGCTCTGACCTAGCTAGGGACTGGCTAAAGTGTAAGTGAAAATGAAGGGGTTGGTGAAAGGCTTTCACAGACGATACTAATTAGAAGCAGATATCACCACACAGCTAATGACATCGACTTACTTTGCAAGTGCTAATGAGCAATATTCTATGAATGCAACCAATGCTCCTGCACCAAATAAATGGAGCCGCTACAACGTGCTGGGGCTCTTTGATGGTTTACATGACTGTAAGAGGTTTCGGGGTAGGCTGAGTATTCGTGACTTCCCCCGTCGCTCAACGCCTGTAGTTCCAATGCGCCGTGCTCGTCTGCACATTGATGTCAATGAAATCCTGGAGGGTGACCCTTTCACAGTACATACGACAGAGCGCCCCCTGTTGGATGATTCTGATATATCATACACAGACGATGAGGCAGCTGTAACTGCATCTCGTACTGCTTGGCAGTCGCATGAAAAGACAGGTGAAGAGGAGAGATAGGAGGAAGATGAGGAGGAAGATATCAGCCAGACAAAGCATAATATATCTAGCAGAAGCCGAATCACACAAATTGCTACACAATGTATTGATAGTAGTCTGGAGGACACTGGTTACAAAATTTGTGTTACTGAGATTTATGTTTTGATAATAAATAGAACTTGAACGTCTTTCTATCTTGATTATTATCAGAACATCGTCTTCCCCTGCTCCTGCTCCTGCTCCATCCTGCATTCCTAGTAGTGAAATTCTTGGAGCAATCTGCCATACTGGCAACAAGGTACTGGCTATATATCAGTATATGTTCAATCATGAGGTCAGCGAGATGCAAACTTAATTGAAGACTCCATTGGTCTCGGGCTGTCTTCTCCGCCTTCTTCATCTTATCATACACACCTTTGGTTTCCAGGTAAACATTGCCAATCGTCTTGATGGCCTCGAGAATTGCGACGACTTTGTCCAGGACTGTGACCGAGATATCCAGAAGTTTTAGGGCATTTTCCGCGGTGAAGAGGGCGGGCTTCTTTTCATAAAGAATGAGGCCGGCTGGGATGAGAACGGTACCAATGGTGAAGACGGTCATGGTGGTGGCGGGCATGGCGGCCGGTATGGTAGTGGAGTCGGTAACAGAGTTGGACTCGGTGGGGGCGCAGTGGTACTGGTAGCCTTGGTGGTAATTACCTAAAATTACTAATTAGTAATCTTTCTACAACCTTGGTATAACTGATTGCTAGTATTATTTAATAAACATGAGTAAGTGTTCTTATTATAGGGGATGATGATTGATAACAATATATTGTCATAAATAAATATCAACTTACTCTATTATGATCCATTCATCAATATCAATATTACTATCATTACAGAGATCTATATTCTATGACATATCCAACCATGACAAGTGTTATTTCACGTAGGCTGACTCGAGCATTCTAAATATACAACCCACCCCCTGACTTAATTTCTTTCCCGTGTTGATGGGTGGGCCAAAGCCCTTCCTGTCGAGGAGGTCTATTGCCAACCCCCAGCCCAGCTGTTTGTGTATCGGACCAATAACACGAGACCAAGTAAGACAGGCAGACCCCTAAGTGCGACCAGCCCCATGACCATCACGGCTACTTTATCATTACCCTGGCCCAATGGTCTGTTCAACATAGGTAAGAATAGACTAGGTGTACAATCCTTCCAGAATGGCTTTGGGTATCATTGCATGTGTTCTCCGTCAGTGATCTATTCCTCTGGTCTACATTACCCATCTTAGTACCTTTGATAGTAATATATATAACCACGAAGACCCGATCAATATGTCCCGAACCACGTCCTGCCGTCCCGATACACATTCATCCTTCTCTTTATACTCATACTAAATATCTCTACAACATGATAGCCTCGCTTGACATCGCTCCATTCACTGCCCGGGCACATCCCTTTCACGATGACAGTTATCCCCCAGGCACAGAAAATCTACAAATTCTGGTTCAATAATCCCGGAAGTCAATATGTGTTCAACGCCGATGGTGATGAGTGGATTTCGCTACAGCCCTGGCAACGCTCTGAGCGGCAGATGTGGGTATGCACATGCAGTAAGAAGTATGGTCTCGAGTTCAAGAATCTCAGTACTGCTAAATGGATGAGCTTCACTAGCGAGGGATGGATGACGCTTGAAGGTTATCAGAAGGAGTGCGAAAGTTTTACATTCACCCCGCTCCGTGATGGTGGATATCGAATGTCAGTGTGCCTGAAGGGGGCACGCAATGATGTCAGAAGATACACCGAAGATCACACTGATTTTGTGGGATGCTAACAGCAAATCTCGAGTGTTCAAGTTCATCTAGAAGAGATTCCGATATGTGAGTTATCATCTTATATCAAGAAGTCTTCTCTTGTGCTGATCTTTGGGGTGAATAGCGTGAGCGCGCTGTCAGTATGAGACTTAGCCTCGACCTGGCATTGGCATTGCTTTAATTCTACTACGAACCTTTCTCTTGATACTTGATGAACATTGTTCTTTTTGGATATGCAACATGCGTCAAATGACTAGCATACTATCTTCCTATATTACTCCCTGTTTATCTCTGATATGCCCTCCGATTAGCATTAATCAGCGCAATGCCCTCCTTGCGCCAAGTATCCGGCTCCGCATACGACGTGACATTCGCATCCCAGATCATACTCATCGGGTTCTCTAGATCATACACGGGCCAGTCCTCCGTCTGTGTGGCGTTCCTTCCACGTCCAGTCCATGCATTAGGATCCAGACTATTGACGAAGCTGATCCACGAGCCCGACATGAGGTAGCTAAGATCAAAATAGCTCTCCGGAGCATCGATAAACGGGTTCGGACTGAACCCATAGCCATTAAGGTTATTGAATATAAAAATCAGGTCCGAGAAATGCGCCACGCCTTCTTCCCAATTGTAATCATCTGTCTTGGTGTTGAACCGGTAGCAGTATGCACTTAGGTTATGTGCTGCCCATAGCTCACAGGTGTAGCGGGTCGCGGCTATGAACTGGGCATCGCCGTAGTATGCTGCTGTCTGGCGGAATGCAGCACCGTAGGGCTGTGGGAAAGTGACATTGCCGCCGAGCTCTTCGGATGAAGGGATGCCGAAGTCGGTGGTGTTGGGGTAGAGCTCGAGTAGCTCGGATATGACGCGCTCGTCGAGCGCCCAGCCGTAGGTTGTTGTTGCTGGGTTAAGTCTTAGTGGGGAGAAAGGGATGAGGAAAAGAAGTACATACAGCTGAGGTAGTTCTTCAACTCGGCAGTGGTGTTCACTGGTTCCGGGCACTCGGTAGTTCCTTCGTCTGTAGTGTAGCCGATTATAATAGGTACCTTAACGAAGTCTCCTCTATCGAGTTGCTCGCTGGGATATCGCGCCACGAAATCACCGTCCACTGTGGGCCTCCAGTTGTAAGGCGTTGTATCGTTAGCAGTTGTATTCAGGATATTGTTCAGGACAGTGAAGGGAGTGCGGCGTAGACAGTCCAGCTTGCGGATAGCCTGGGAACATCCAGCCTCCTCTGCTATCTGCTGAAACCAAGGCTCGTACGTCCAGGTGAGGTTCAAACCACTGCCAGGTAGCACCGCGCCGGACTCCATCATACCTCCACGGAAGAGCCCGTCGTCCCGTCCGTTGTACGCGCGGATTTGGTATCCTACGCTCTCGGAGCCGGCACTCTGCCCGTATATCACGACTCTATCTGGATCACCTAAATAGGCGGGTCATAAATCAGTGATTCTGGACTAAGTTTATCGATGGGAATATGGAAACCCACCACCAAAACCTGCGATGTTTTCTTTCACCCAGTTCAGAGCGAGGCGCTGGTCCTTGAGCCCCAGATTCAACGATCCTTCATTGGCGAGCTCAACCCCATTAAAGAAACCCCAGGGACCGAGGCGATATGCAATGCTCACCGCGATGATGGGCTGGCCGATATTGACTGAGTGTTCGACAATGAATGTAAGATTGTAGCGCAGGTCGGGAGTGCCGCCTTGTGCGAAACCGCCACCTGTTGCATTTGTTCAGCGTCGGGGGTGGCTTGCCATTGTCGGGATGGATTTCATTACATACCATGAATCCATACGAGGACTGGAAGACTTGCGTTGTCGTATCCAGCGGGACGGACCACGTTTAGGTAGAGACAATCCTCGCTCTAGTCTGCTGGTCAGGAGAGAACAGCGTAGACAAGGTGACATTTATCCACACCTGAAGATAAGCCTTTTGATCACCGCCGTAACCTATGCACTCCTATTACGCGTGCTATATGTAAGTACATAGTCTCAGAATAAACACAGAGCAAGGTCAGTGCAGGTTCTCACCATCGCATAGCCTGTAGCAGGGCGCAATCCCGACCAGGACTCATTAACACTCTCGGGATTAGCCCAACGTAGGTGTGCCAGCGGTGGCTTAGCGAATGGAATTCCAAGAAAGTAATCCTCCTTGTACTGAGGCATGTAGACACCATAATAACTTCCGTTCTTCGTCTGGGCCACTGGGTTGGTGCAGGTTGCCACACAGGCCATGCCCAGGGCCAACCAACTAAGCGTTGGGAAGGCTCCCTTCATCTTGTTCGATTTCTTGATATGTGTCACTGATTTTAAGACATAATATAAGATGGACTCATTGAGAAATGAGTGATCACTGTGTTCTTATACCTCTATGGCTCGGTCCTCCGGACGGCGCAGCGAGGGGTCAAGTCGCGTCGCTCGTCCATGACAACCAACTTGTTTGGTCATCTATCCCAGGCATGTATCCGTATTCAAACCATGCACCCCGCATCTCGGCCTTTAGCCTGTGGGGTCCGGGACAGATTTGAGCCTATGTTTGGGTAGTTGGGAGCCATATGGTCGCCAGCAAGACCAGCTCGGACACCCATACTCTTTCGGGAAGCTTCCCCATGCCTTGAACCCGGCTTATGTCCGAGCATGCATGCATGCAATCCCACGGCTGCTGATGTCAAAACCGCCTGGATAGTTCATGAAACATAGTACGACTCGCGGGGTGAGATGGGGTGTGAGGAACGTTTAGCTTTCAGTTATTGGGTTAAATCATTTCCTTATTCGACGATAAATACTTCATGCCCTCAGGGCTGGTATAGCCGATACCCAGGAAGAAAGATTAAATTAAAATGGTTAGAACAGGCATAGTCAACTCTATCTTGTCAGGAGATATGACAAGCTTCCAGTAGTATTCAAACAGTAGTTACTGTACAGACTTGGGGGTTGGTACTGATTCAGAAACATGCACTGCTAGAACAGTGGCTAGTGGAGTACAGTGGCTAACATTGCTTGCAACCATCATGCACTGCGTGCCAGATATGAGGTACTATCTGTGGCGAATGCAGGCCACTTTCACCAAATGTGACCTACAAGTTCAAAGGATGAGCTTCAATCCTGCAAACCCCTTCGCCATCTCCCGCAAAATAGATGTAGTATTGGGAGTTGCCTTGCAACAATATAAAGAGCGGTGGCAACTTCCATGGCTAGTACAAAAGCGACCCGGTGTGCTGAGGGCTGTAGCAATGACCAACGCACATTCTGCCTCCAGGGAGGTATAAAGTCCGCCCAGAATCCTGAATGAGTGTGAATATATTTCTTGCAGCAAGCTCTACATTTGACACTGAGCCCAAAATTACCGCCGGGTCATTAACGGTAATGCAGTGGTGCTGTGACAAATATTATCGTGATATTCACCACATCCCAGTAATTCACCAGATTTTTTGCCGTCCCTGCCGCCCACACGGCTTTATATACAGCCATCCTCCTCAGAATATCTCTCCCTCACTAACTTCTGACCCTGCACCATGGTGTCTAGACATGACCACATAAAACCTTTGCTCTGGGAATACCATATTACTCAATCAAGCAGGTCCAGAGGTCTCATAACAGGCATTCAGATGCCAGCACACTGAGACCTCAGATACAGGGATGTGGAGAGAAGGATAAAGTCCGCTCAACAAAAGTGCTGTTAGCCCTTGTCATGTGTACTGAGTTTACACTACTAGAGGGCCTAGCTCATAACCCGAGATATATTTACTCTACTTGGTGGAGCGATCTGCGCTAGTTCCTTGATCCAGGGCAGCGCCCTTCGGGCGTCGACAAGAAAGCCTTGAATTCGCAACGATCATTGCCAGCCCAAGCAACTTCTTTCAAACCTGCTATGACACGCAGATAAAACTGTCTTGTATTTCCTGTTATAAAGAGAATTCGCGATGAAAATTACACCATACACTATTCCAATGCAGCAGTCTACGAGTTGCACTGAGCAACCATCTACCGCTCATCTCCTTGCTACGCAGCTTCCTGCCGCCTAAAAGATTCTACCGAACTAGAGTCCCGGATTTCTTACATACTATACAGCGATAATCTGGAAATATATAGTCTCAATTGGATGTACAACAATTTCATGCGAATGTGATGATGAGGAACTACAACCGTCTGAACACCACTGAGATGGCATCATTACGGAACAGCACATTACTGCATGGAAGTTATGCCTTATTTGTGGGCAAGAGAAGCCAATACAGTGTCTTCTCATCTGCGTTTCAAATCCTCTCAGGCGCAGTCAATGGGCCGCACATAGCTGGCGTGGCTACCAAGGGAAACTGGCTCGAGCCAGGAGCGTGATACGACTAGCTACTCAACGCGCATGAGAATTGAATATTTAATTATCACTACAAAGCAGGTGCACCATCTCTTCTGCCTTCTATATATGCTGCATGTGAGGGATTGCAACAAACGGGGTCTATAGTGATGGCGAAAAATTGTGATCAATCTGACCTCGGTCCCAAGGTGCGTTCTCGGGTTTGCCTTCGCATATTTGTCACCGTCGACCCACTATCCGAGGCTTCACATAGAGGAGAACAAGACGCGTGATTTTTTGATGGAATACCTACCAAGAAGAGTTGAACCTTGTGCGAGTGTCCTATACCTACAATGGTATTTCGAACACCATAGTATTATTCTCCTGGTCCTCCGCGGCGGCATTACAAAAAATACTTTGTAGTCGATTTCTCAACGGATACAGAACAACATATTTCAGGCTGGATCGGTACCAGATATCGACCAAATTGTGCGACACATTCTTTCTTACGACTGACTTTGCTCTGAACAGGCGAAGATCTATCTCCCCAAAGGCAAATTTATGTACTCCACTGATATGAGCTGGACCCCATGTCGCGTGCATAATACAAGATATGTACAATGAACTCATCGGCATCCTCCTCTCCACCATCACCGTGCCGTGGTTGAAGAAGCGAACTATGGGCCCTTTGAAGATGAAACCGGTGTGAACGCTTTCCCAGATCTCGAACAAAGATGGTTTATTCCGTGTCTGATGAAGCAACTAAATCAGTATCCTACCTCAAAGGGCATGCACCGATGCCATCAATACATCACGGAGCAGACTTTTGACAAGCGACCTTGGCGCAACAAGGCTGTGAAGTGAGATCAATACCGGTCAACCTTTTTGGTGTGGTACTCATTTGGCGTCTACTGCCAAATTCTAACAAAACCTGAATCCTGCAAGCTTGATCGTGCCATTAGACACATAATCAGGCGTCGGTTGAGCTATCTAACAAAATCTCAATCATCATCTCGTCTGGATAATCCTACATAAGCAATCCCTGATCGAAGAGATGCACATTTCCGGGTTCTTTTGAGTCACACGCGACCTTTTCTGTGCCTGTCCAAGCCGCCGTATTTTGATATTTACTGAAATAGATAAAGCAGTTTGATCAGATGATAAAACGTCCCAAGAGAACTGGCTCAGCGCCCCGCCGCTCCCTGCTAGCGGTCTCTGGTAGTGCTACTCCTGCTACTCCTGCCTCCACTGGTAGTCGACCCCCTGAAACACTAGTCGCGCTTTGAGCCTAGAGCCAGTGGGCTGCGCCCGCATGATGACCGAACGATGATGCTTTATATGCCAGGAGCAGGGCCATCTGGCTAGAGACTGCCCAAAGAAGAAAATGGCTCAGACCAAGCAGTTGGAGACTATGGAGGAGAGTGAGCAGGTGAACGACAATGTCTAGGAGAAGTCTCCATTCTAGGCGAGATGGAAGTTTACTTAAGTACACTGGATTCACGAAATCTGCTAGGTCAGGAGAGTGAAAGCTCTATAATTAATATCTTAATATCAAAAAATGGACTACCAGTGTCCGCCCATACCCTAGCAGACACTGGAGCAAACGCGTCGGCTTATATAAATACTGACCTTGCCATCGAATTAGCACACCGACTATAGAGCAAGATAATTCCCTTGAAGACCGGATATACAGTCACAGGTTTTGACGGAAAAGCTACTACACCTTCAATGCATGCCATCCGCTTCACCATTACCATTGACGGACAACGGTTGGACGACGTACCTTTCCTGAGCTTCAACCTCGGCTGGCACGATATTATACTGGGCAGGATGTGGTTTAGAAAGCATGAATTCTTGCTCGACTGCCAGCATCGCCGGCTTGTCTAGCCGGGTCAGCTGTCATTACAAGACGAGGTCAGGGCTGGGGATGTACTGACTACCAAGCTGCAGTGCTTGCTCGCGGATAAAACAAATAAGCCTCGTGATGGTTGGCCGCAGAAGGGGGCTGCTTACTCTCGGGGATGGACCGCTGTATTCTTTGCCTCTGGTAGTGACCGGTCACACCCCACGAACAGTGTCACAGTTACAAGACTTGCGAATATATGGATTCTGGTGATTTGGAGGACTTATGGGGTCAATATCCATAATTGGTGGTTCAACAGACGCAGAAAGCTGACATACAGCTGCTCGAAATGCAGGAGATGCTGCTGGTCTGAGTGGTTAATGACATTGGTGTGATAGAAGAGTGTCGGTACGAGCTCCGTAGGTTTGGATTAGATTGTCTGGCCATCAGAGTGAGACAGGGGATTACTACTAATGAAGGCAGAAGTGTGCTTGCGGTTTGTCTGGTTGAATTGTTGATGCCATGTATCTGGTGTTACTTGGATGATTGATGAAATTGTGAACTTGGGTTGGATGAACCTAGAAACCTGAAATTGTTCTTGAAGCCAAGGGGGCGCAGAAGTAGTTAGTGGAGACCAGACTGCTAACTTTTGATTTATGCAACTACTTAACAGTACCAATCCAAAGACGCTCCGTCTAAGTCAGCGGGAAAGGCATGGAGAACAGAAGGAACACACACACACTTTAGAAGCAAGATATGGAAGTAAAAAAGAAGAGGTGATCGTGACTCGTAGGCAGCTGACTGGCCGTCTGGCTGGTCAGCTGCAACACTCGTTTACATTTTGACATTTTGTATAGCTACTGCACTCTGCTTTTTGCTTTTGTTGTATATGTAGTTGTTTTTTGCTACGGCGACGATTTTCTTCAGACAGTGTACATTCAGACGAGCTGTTATGGAAAGATTTTATGTTACGAGTGTAACTTCTAGGTCTCCGACAACGAAGGCGTAGATATTTTACGAAGAGATTGTGCCTTACAGACCCTCTGTAGTAATACAGTAGACAACCAAGCGTTGACACGCTAAGGCTTAGTTGTGCCCGTACGTGTAAGCAACAGATGGATGGCCTCGGTGTAGCCCATCTATATCATGGCCTACATTGGACAATTATCCATGCCATACCAAAGAGTCACAATCTGAACAGTAGATAATATCATTCTGATGTTCTAACTCTAGGTTATGACATGAGTGCTGAGCCAAACGATTTATCCACTTCTTTATCCCAAGCAGCCTTCTCACACACCGAAATCTTCCCATTGTAGACCACCACATCTTCCTTCAAACTCCCTAATCATCATTCGTACCCTTTCCTAAACTCGGCGTCTGTTCACACTATACTTCTTTATGTTAGCAAAACACCTATCCTTCTTGTTACCCAGGCAGCTAACAAGTACCTTCTCAAGGATAAAAGATCTACTCTTTCGCGCAGCCACACTTCTTGCACTGCTCCTTGTAACCAGACTCAACCAGGTACGTGCCGTAGGAGTCACACTTGGAATGAGGCGTCAAGCAGTGCGAATCAGGGTTGAGACCACCACTGCAGTGGATGGTGTACTTGGCTCGAGCAGCCAGTTCAACAGGGTTGGGTTCAGGCTCGGCCACTGGAGTAGCAGAAATCATGGTAGCCAGGAAGGCAGTGGCAATGGCGAAAGATGTGAAGCGCATCGTGAAGGTTGAGTTGGTTCTTTCAAGCTGTATGGCTTTTAGAGATAGTAGAGTAGTCAATGAGAGATGAAGCTGTTGATGAGGGAGAAAGCATCCGGAGTATGGGCTGGTACGAGCCTTTTATGTCTCGAGCTGGATGAGTGCTATAGTTCTCGGTATGTGTGATTCTGGAGAACTCCTGCAGGTCGACCAAGTAGCACCGTGCTGACGGCGCTGATCCTGAGGCATTACTGCTATGCTCTCTAGATGACTTGTTTGGGCTTTTTCTCGGCTCGAAGTGAAGCCGATGTGATTGAAGTCCAGGCTAAGATATGGCACGCCTGATTCTCAGCTCGTTTGTGTAACATCGACAAGGCGACTGAAGACCTCGCGAGTACTGTCCGTGGCCCGTAACTGCTGTAGACAGTCTTTGCTTCCACATTTTGTCAAAAGAGCATGAATTCCAATGAATGGTGTAAAGATACACCCAGCACAGGCAAATAAAGATCAAAGATAGTTGGTGCCCGTACTTCTCATGAGAACGATGCGTTGACGGACCCTGATTCTGTAGGGCTGACAGCGGGAGTGCTCGGGAACGAAAGCAGGGAACAATTTGTTTGCCTGGATGATCCCCAGGGTCTTGTGTAACACACTGCACTTAGGAACAAACAAGCTCAGCTTATGTGCTGACAGAACCACAACGAGCAAGAGAAACCGATTGGCAGGCAACATCTGTCCAACCCTGCAGGGTATCATGTGACTCCCAATAAGGTATATTCCCAGTCCACTAGCCCTGAATGAAACTCTTCCTTCCATCATCCTTCACCCTCCTAATAATCTCTTCCATCGACAATCACCATATAGCGAATCTCTTTTCATCAAGCCATCAACTTCAGTATCAAAATAACTATGAATGCAAGTGAACCCCTCTAGCACAAGTCTCGGCTGAGGCCAACCTTTGTCCATAGTCATTCCACCGTGAGCATCCCGACGAGCTCCACACCCCCAGCTGGCATGCAGCAAGCAACCGCCCCATTGTGGACGGCAAATTCAACGATCCTGAGACCGGTGAAGTCCGTGATGCTGGAGGCTTAGTGTTCTCCGGACCCCCAGCGGTCGATATCATCATCACAAATATTCACGAGGTCTCGACCAACGACATCTTTCGCGCTCAGCTCCCTTTTCGTATGGAGAAGCTGCTGGCGTGGATTCTGCGGGTAGTTGGGGAACGCAAGCTCCAGCTTGATTCTCTTAATGCCACCCCGTACGCTATTCGGGTGGTGCTTGCTCATGAATTGAATGAGGGGCAATTTCGTGAAATTGCTCATGAGATGGCGAACGGGATTTGGGGGCAGCAGTAGTGAAGGGTGCTGTAGGGTGGTGAGACCGGGATGGATGGGGTCGAGAACGCTCATTTGCTTTTTGCGGGGTGAGACCCGTAATATGGGGCAAAGGGTATTGCTTTGTTAGGTTCTTATCATCCGGGCTAGACTGTCAGATTGGAAGCTCGACCGGCATGGGGTTGTCTGAAGGATCCATGCTGTGTAACCTACGTTTCGATAGTCTGAGACTTTAACGAAGCATACTGCCTTATACGAGGTTTCATCACAGTAGCTAGTTTAGCACGTTGTCTCTACAACATTATTATTTAGGCAACCAGTTTCGGTGCATTCAATGTGGCGTGCATGAGATTCCGGCACGGGTGGACTCGGACAATCTGAGGGCAAAGAGCACTCATGATTCCCTCAGAAGTGAAAGTACACCCCTTACTCTATCCAGTGAAGTATATTATGTCTCATAGTTTGCTATATTTGCATTTCGAAAGAGAGATTCTATGTTCGAAGTATGTGTTACGTCCCTGGCATAAATATATCGAGCACATCTACATTGATCATATGTCCGTCATCATCGACATTTTGTTCAAGCAATGCTTTCAGTCTTCTCAATTTCCTCCCTGCTCAAGCACCACTTCTTCTGCAAGTCAGCATCAAGGGCCAAGGCATACACATCCTTAGGCCACCACTCTCCCCAGCTAGTCAAGAAGATCTGTTCCGGATCCGCCGGGAAATCGTTAATGAAAAAGGCGCGGAGGAGGTTCTGGGCACCTATAGATGGTCGTCAGCAAGTCAACGTAAAGAGTAAACTATGAGTGATCCTCACCCTCGGGGATAGTCTTGGCATCGGGCATATCCATGGTCAACCCCATTGACGAGGCGAGAGGAGTGCTCGGAATGAGACCTGGTGAAACAGCAACGACCGTGCAAGATGGGAGTTCATGCCGCCAGTAAAATGCGCCCAACAGTTGCACGAACTTGGAGGCACTGTATATCGGACGATAGCCTGCGCCAGAGTTGGCTTTGAGGTCCACGTCAAGGGTTGCTATGCCATGAACAGTTAATATATGCCAGATCACAGTACCAGGATATTGCAGGGATCTCACCCGGATTCTGGTCTCTGAGACCACGGATCGCCCCGGAAGAAACGAAAACAACCCGCGACTGCGAGGCAGATAGCACATCACGGAGCAAGTGGACCAGATAATGCGGGGCTGTTATAAGTTTGCTTCATTGTTAGTGAATCCACTTTCCCTTCTGTACGCTCAAAGTCTATCCATATTCCACGAACCTAGGTGGTTAACTACATATCCCGAGCACCATTGCGATCCATTCGGACCGGGGCCTTCGCCATTGTCCAGAGTGCCGGCGCAGAGGAAGAGATAAGCCAGCTTCTCGGAACCCAACTTGGAAAGGACATTTGCTGCGAAAGACTGCACACTCTTCAAGGACAGGAGGTCGAGTGGGTAAATGGTGATGGAATGCTTAGAAGTGTCATAGTTGAGGCTATCGTAAGCAGCCTGAACCTTGGCCGTGTCTCGCGCGCCCAAGATGAAATTGTACGGCTCGGCTTGCTCAAGCAACTGCTTGATTGTTTCAAAGCCCTGTGGTGTCTTAGAAACTGATACATTGGAAGGGTGGAAAGCTAAGCACACCAAACCGGATGAAATGCCAGTTGCGACAATTGTCTTTGCCATGGTTGCTAGGATGAGGCTGTGTAACTACCTGGGATGTTATCGAGTTATTGTTGGGGGACAAACAAGAGATTCTGAAGTTGCACCAAATATGCCCCGCTCGGCGATCAAGTGGGGTATTGATGTCATGTGGTTTGTGTGCTCTTAGCACCCAATGGGATTCGAATGTTCACCCCAATGAAAAGATTGCACTTATAATTTTTACTGTTTATCTAGAGATGTAGGCATTAGAACTCGTCTCCATTAGAAGTCAAGTACAGCCTGCAAAGCACCTACTTCGTCAATTGTATCAGAGTAGTAGACGAGTCTTTTACGTAGGATTATCACGGGAAAATATATACTAATGTCATCTCCGCTATCTGGCCCCATTTTTATATGAAGAACAGGACAACAATAATCTAATGAGAAGTCACTCGTTACTTCTACAATACTTCGTAGGCTCACAAGCAGCATCATACTGCTCTGGATTGTCAACTTTCCGCGGCACAAGTGCCTGAAGCCCGATCCACGGATCAGGACATAGATACTTTATTAAGCAACCCGTTACCCTGATGCATACTTTTTGTAGGCCATGGGACTACACAATAGCTGGAATCTCAGTAGTCTAACAGATTCCGAAATCTATGTACTAGGGTCATGGTGGAATCAAGTCGAACGACTTTGTATCAACTTGTATAAACCGGACGCGGAGAAGGTTCTCCCGTTCGTGATTCTAAATATTCTAAAAGGACTTTGAAGATATAAGACATCTTACTCTCAGTGTGTCTATTTTCGTAGGCACCTCTGGTATTCTGGAGTTTCTGTCTCAACTGCAAGACTTCGTCATGAATAAGGGAAGAGTTGAAGCAGCACTATTACTTCTAAGTGTGAGGCTGCTGTCTATCATAACCAGCATTAACAGTAATAATTATAAGCTGGACAAAATTCATAAGCCATAGCTAGTCAATGTCTTTGTCTAATAAAACAACCTCAGCTGATAGCCATACTACCGAATATGAACGAATGAAACGTGGCTATGGCGTGATCTGCTAATGCCTTAGACAGAGCGCTAAACATGCAGGAACAGGGGAGACAATCCAAGCAATCTAATCTCAAGCCACTAGTGGTAGTCACCCGACGTACTACAAAAGTTCCTCTTCCCTATAAGGAAGCTCCAAGTAGGCCCTAGCCTCAACCAGCCCCCTCCCCCTCTTTTTGTCTCATTAGAATGATACTATATTAAGGATTCCTTATTCCTTTCTGCTCCCCATTGCAATACACTGGACCAAATTAGATTAGACACCCAAAAGGCCAAACATCATCTACCCTAATACTCGCAGCCTGACTACAAACCGTCTCATACATCATGTTTCAGCTTCCCCGTGTCCCAACCACTGACGAAATCCTCCCCCTCATGCATCAGATTATTGATGAACTCACTCAGACGCGCAATTCAATACTCAAAGCAACGACTCAAGCAACCGCCACCTTCGCCAACACTCTTCTTCCCTTGGCGCAGACCGAAAATGCAGTCCAAGGCCAGCTAGCCATGATCGACATGCTACAGTACGGTGCTCCATTACGGGAGACCCAGGATGTCGTCCACTCCGCCTTGAGCGTCTATGCCGAAGCACAGGCGGCATGGATCGCCAACGGCGATTACTTCCGTCTACTGCAGGTTGTCCGCGACAACCGAGAGGACTTTGAGTCATTGGATGCGGAATCGCAACATTTGCTCCAACGTGAGTTGACCGTGTACCGAATGGCGGGGCACGGTGAGCTGGACGCGGAAGAGGTGGAAGGCTTCTTGCAGGAAGGGGCAAACATTGAGCAGATAGAGAGGAAGTTCCAGGAAAATTTATCAAGGGAAGATGGTGGAGTATGGTTTACACGGGACGAGTTGGAGGGAGTACCAGCGAGTCACTTGGGGAAGTGGAAGTCGGATGGTGAGAAAGAAAAGCTATTTGTGCCCTTTGCGAATGGAGGTACACTGGCAGTGTTGACCTATGCTCGTCGCCCCGGAACGCGGAAGAAGATGTTTTTGGCCGACAACCAGAAGCTTAAGGTTAATCAGCCATTGTTTGAAGAAATTGTCCGTCGACGGGCTCGACGGGCCCATCAATTGCACCATTCTACACATGCTGGGTATCGGCTGCAGCAACGTATGGTGAAGGATCCGAAATGGCTAGGTGGGTTTCTGAATGGGCTGAAGGAGACACTGTGCGCCCGCGGCAAGGATGAAATTGCGGTGTTGCAGCAGAGGAGGATGAGGGATATAAAAGACAAGTGTGACAAAGATGGTGTGGGATTTCCTCCGTGGGATAAACCCTATTACATGCGGTTAGTAGAAGAGGAAGTTGCGGTTGACCAGCTGCAGCTATCTGAGTTCTATCCCCTCGAACAAACAGCCATAGGAATGCTGGGTATTTTCGCCTCTGTTTTGGGTCTCCAGTTCGAATCTGTCGAAGCTGAGAAGGAGAGCCTCTGGCACGAGTCCGTCCGGGTATTCTCTGTCTGGGAGAAGGCGCCGACCAAGCAGTTTGTTGGGTATCTGTATTTTGATCTGCTATGGAGAGAAAACAAATATCGCGGTAACCAAAGTGTTAATCTCCAATGTGTATGCGCCAGCCTCTACATTAGTGATATCGCACTCGATCCAGACTAACAGAGAATTTCAGGGTTACCTCCGCCCGGATGGCAGTCGGCAATACCCTGCCACAATCCTCATGTGTTCCTTCCCTACTCCCACTCCCACCGGTTGTGCCTTGCTCAAGCACCATCAAGTGGTAACCCTCTTCCACGGTAAGCCTAAATCAGACAACCTTGAATATATCCTAACCTAAAACACAGAAATGGGTCATGGAATCCACGATCTCCTTGCACGAACAAAATACGTCCGCTTTCATGGCTATCGGCTTCCCCCTGACTTCGGAGAGATGCCTAGTATGATGCTCGAGAACTGGTGCTGGATGAAAGAGGTTCTGCAGGGCCTCAGCTGCCACTACACTACGCTAGAGAATAGTTACCTGGTTGAGTGGCTCAGGCAACATCCTAACTTGCCGCATCCGCCAAAGAAAATTCCTGAGGATCTAGTTGACCGTCTTATCAAGCACCATTACCTAAACCGAGGGCTTTATCATTTGTACCAGCTGTATGCTTCTGCTTCATGTCTCCGAAAATTACTAATCTGACTTGAGCAGGTCAATCTCCATCTTCGACTTGCAAATCCATAGTCTCAAGACGGATGCAGAGATTTCAAATTTGGATGTTCAGAAGCTCTGGTATGACCTCCGTGAGGAGGTTGAAAGTATGGACTTCTCCGAGTGCCGAGACGGCTATGCATTTGGAACGTTCAGTCATCTGACAGCGGGCTATGATGTCTGCTACTATGCTTATCTCATGTATGTACCTCTCCCATCCAGACTACTTGCTCTATTGTAGCATTCGTGAAGGCTAACTCTCTTGCAGCTGCACGGCAATGGCCCAGGACGTCTTTCTTTTTGTCTTTGCTGAAGGCCCATTCCAGATGGACAAGTGGGAGAAGTACCGTCGCGAGATTCTGCAAAACGGTGGCGGCCAGCAAGACTTGTTTCAGATGCTGGAGAGGTTCTTGGGTCGTCCACCAAATATGAATGCCCTTGTGGAAGATTTGAGGCGAGCAGACAGTCAACATTAGTGCTAGGGGGGCAAACTATTACACCATAAGCTTCTGAGAAGTTAGTTCAGAGAATAAGATTCACGCAATGTCTCCTCGCCAAGCAAACCAGGT